GGGGGCTTCGAAGGGCCTCCCAGAAGTCACCGTCGGCTTTTTCGTTGGCCCTGCTCCCCTGAGGCGCGAGGGCCGACTGCGCGAAGGCGATCGCGGCGCAGGGCTACGACTTGCACGAGAAGATGGAGATGGAGAAAAAGGTGTAAGTGGATTTCGGCGGCGAGGTCGTGAAGTGCTCAGCGGCGTCGCTGCGGGCAGAGATGATGCTGTGCATTTTCGGCCACGTCGTGACCGCGGCTCTGGCGGATGGGCACCTCGATTTCCTCTGGTGCGAGAAGGCGCCCCTCTCGAGGCCCCCTGCGGTGGCCGGTCTGGCCGCGGAGGCGGCGCCCTTGAAGGGGTCGAAGCTGGTGAGAAAAGGGCGCGCCCCAAATCCCGCCGGCCGAGGTGGCCGCGAGCGCCGCCGAGATCCGCGAGGTGATCACCAAGAACGGCAAGACGTTCAATGGCAAGAACGGCTGGCATATCATGGAGCAGTTCTGGCTGGGCGCCACGGGCGCAGGCGCCGATGCAAGGTTCAAGGAACTGGCGAAGGAGGCCCTGCCGTCCGCCGAGAAGGAGGTGATGCCGAAGGAGAGTTTGGGCAGGTTTATGGAACCTCCAGAAATCTAAACTGCACGAGTTCATCAGTCCGGGCTTGCAGACCGCCTTCAAGCAGCTCCGCCCCGCGCCCGCGCAGGTGGTGGAGCGCAGGGTGCCCAAGCGGCCCGTGACGAGGTCTGAGTTCGGGGATGAAGTGAAAGCGCTGATGGGGCATTATCTCCGCTTGCCGGCCCCTAGCACTGGCGCTGGCGACCCTGCGCGCGAGGTCTCTGGCACGGCCGCGATGCAGATCGCCTTCCAGGCAGTCCAGGCGAAGAGCGAGGGGGAGGGCGACGTCGGCCCCCCAGATTTGGACCCGCTGACCCGCTACCAGCGGTTGTTGACCCCGCCCCAGCATGAATATTACAAGACGTGGCACTCCAAGGCGGTGGGCGATGTGAAGACGACGCCGGGGGCCAAGCCAGCGGAGAAGAGAGAAGCCAGCGGCGAGAAATTTAAGAAAGAGGAGGAGAAAGCCGCCGCAAAGACGAAGCACAAGGAGCGCTTCTGGAAGTAGGGTCTGCACCCAGAGGCACGGGGATCAAGCGTAGGCAGCGACCGCCCCGTGCGACCTCAGGTAGCAACCGGCGCCGAGTTCATTGGGGCGGTGGGGCTTCCGTTCCAGTTCGAGCTGCGTGGGTGCGAAGTTGCGTTGCAAGTGCGCGGGAGAGGGTAGTCGCATGCTGTCCCTGCTTGAATCGGGTTACGTGGCCTGGTCGATTTCTCGCGCCGGCGGCCTCTGGGCGCTTTGCAGTTGGAGGTGCATCGACGCTAAACCTTCGAACGACCGGCTTGCGGCAGAGCTCCAGTGCGCCCCGCTGCTACGCCGGATATTCCCGGAGTTTCCTCCCGACGGCCGTCAAGCAGGACCTGGCAGGCCTGCGCATCGGGGCTCTTTCGAGCATTGGTGGCGCCCCCATGACCATCTCCGCGGGTTCCCTGGGCCCTCTGTGCGTTTTCGTTAGGGGATGTCCGACGGGGCCCGAGATGGGGGCTTGGGGGTCCGGCTCAAGGCCCAGGGGCATTCGACGCGATAATTGTCATTCTGAGGCTTCTCTGGGGGGTTTTCTTGCGCTGCCCATTTGGCCCGTCCCTCAGGGTGGGTCTTGCATTTTTTCCTTAGCGTGGCGGTGGGCCGAGTGGGGCGCGAGACGGGGGTGATCAGGTCTGCCTTGGCGATCATTTTATTGCCGCGCGCGGGGCCGCGCATGATGCGGTGTCTCAAGAATCAGCTTTCGGCATCCTGAGGTTGTTATTTGATGGGCGCCCCCAACTCGCACTGTCGTTCGTTTTGATTAGGGCGGCGTCCCACGCGGCCTATGCAGGAGGCTTCCGTGGGGGGTGTATAACGGCTTTCTCTGATGGGGCCTGAAGGTCGCATTCGGCGCGCATCGAGGCTATGCGTTGCCCATGCTATTTGTTATGGCCACCCGATGTTCTGGTAGTTTGGGGCTCGCGAGGCCCCTTGGGGCCCAGGGGGATCATGGCCCGCGCGGCCCATGGGGCCCGCGGGGCGCGCGCGCGGGCTCGAAGATCTCGCGTGGATCGCGTGGTCCTCGAGGCTCGCGAGGCCCGTGGCGCCCGAGGGCCGCTGACGCCCTTGGGGGCGACGAAGGTCACTTGGCCTCTGCGGCCCAGTGGGCTGGTGAGGGGCCGAATCCATGGATGTCGCTGCCGTTATCGCAGTTTTGTTTGCCCCCCGTTCTCATTCGGGCGACGCGCGCCCAGCCCCCCCGCCCCCCTGCCCCGAGGTCGGGGCAATTCTGAATTCATTTCGAGGAATTCCCAAACCGTCACTTGCATTGCATGGGGTCCTCGTGGAAGTTGCAAGAATACTCGGAAGTACCCCGCCGATATCGGCGGGCGGCTAGGCCCCTGGGCCCCGGCGACGGCCTAGCGCCCCCGGCCTTTGGAAGCAGGCGCATGCGAAACTGCGGGGTCGCGGGTGCACGGCGGAGGGTAGAGGGTCCGTCGGGCAGAGTGCGCGGCGCAACGCTTAAGGCAGAACGCGCGGCAAGAGGGCCATGGTAGAGAGTAGAGAGCACTGAGGCGCGCGTAGGTAGCGAAGGGCGTCTCTGGGCCGCTATCGGGGCCCTCTCGGGGCATCGTCGGGGTCGCGCTGGATGTCCCCCTTATCCTGGGGGATCGAAAACGCCCCGAAAGTCCGCCGCTGCGGAATCTTCAGAGGGGCCATGCGTGGTAGGTCGTAATTGGCCTCCTATGGACTTCTGCCGCGGCCCCTACTCAAGGCGTCGTCGAGGCATCCCTGCTCTGCGAGATTGCTTCGAGAGTACTGCCGCTGGCGCCCCCGACGGGGCCTCGAAGGCGCCCCCCACTGCAATCTACCACGGGGCCGCTTTATGGCGAGTTCCGCTGGGGCCCCCCACGGTCTTGCCATGGCGCTTTCGTGGGGCCCCCTCAGGGCATCCTCGAGGCCTGGCAAGGATTTCAAAGGGACCCCCCAGAGGCCCCCCGACAGAACGCATTATGTCGTGATCTTCTGGCATGTCTTTTTGGAGGCTTTCTCGCGGCCCTCCTCCGAAGCCTCGAAGATCCTCGGGGGCGGGGGCGTCAATAATGCGCCAGGCAGGAATGCCCCCAGCCGCATATGGCACAGGGTTCCGTAACGTTGCAGGTCGGGCATTCGTGTCGGGCCGTCTTGGAAATCAGCCCTGGCGCACGGCGCCAAGCCCAACCGCCCCCGCGGTGGTTTGCCTTGATCACTCGTGGAGCACGCGCGGAACAATTAATGGCCAGGCCGAACGGCCCGTTCCGCAAACCTTGACGGGGGATCAGCGGAAGGCCCCAGGAGGGCCGCGGATTCATTCTGGCTCGTTTTTGTTTGGATTCTTGGGAGGCCTCCTAGGGGTGCGTTTGAGGGCTCCCGTATTGTTTTTTCAATGTCGGGGGCGTCCGAGGAGGTTGTTTGGAGCATTTGGGGGGGCTTGCTGGCGGTCTCGGGGGCTATCTTCAGCGGAATTGTTCGAAGTTGCATTTCGGGTTCACCACGGGTGCCCTTCTTGAGGCCTCCTAGGAGCCTCTCGGGCGCTCTTCGGGGCTTCTTGGGCCCGCTTCGGGCAATGTTTTAATTTGTTCCGGGGCCCTCTTGTCAACGTCAGGGTTGTTTTGGAACGATATTGGGCGCCTGTTGGAACGTCGTGTGCGGCATCGTTCAGCTATCTCTGTTTGGAGATAGGATCAACGAATGTGCAAGCGGCGGTGGCGCTCTGCTCGGTTTGATTCGCGATGCCGCCTTCCATTTGTGGATCGCGACAGGGCGGCTCAAGTGGACCGCCGTCCGATTGGGGTGGTTGTATTTTTTTCCGTTGGACATTTGATAGACCATGCCGTGAGTACTCTGCCGTTGCTCCCTCTTCCTTCCCTCGTTCACTCCCCTCTTGCCTGTCATCTTTCCCTGCTTCCCTCCCTCTCTAACTCCATCCCTCCGCTCTCCTTCTCTTCCTACCCCCGCTTTCTCTTCTTACGACCACGACGACACCGCCTCGAGACCGTCGAAGGGGCCCCCGAGCCGCCCCAAGAGGGCCCCACGAGGGCCCCCAAGAGTTACCGCCACCTAAGAGGCACCCTAAAAGAGTCCTGCGATTTCGCTACATTGTTGTTCGTTTCTACATGCATGCCACATGCACGCATTGCACGAGGCGTTGATGTCCCGAGGCTGGTCCGCGAAGGCCTTTTCATTTTGGATGCATCACGCACGTGGCATTGTTTGAACACGTCGCGTGCCATTCGGAGCCAGGTCAGATCGATCGGTCTTGCCGTCACAGTTGCCCTCAGGCGATGTGTCTTTCGGGAATTCCGGATAGTAGCCATCATCTCATCGAGCATTGGTTCTTCCGGGTGTGTCGAAGCTGCATCTGTCGAATCACCGCCGCACCTTGTCTTCTGGACACGCCCATGCGGAAAAATTGTTGGCCGAAGGTTGGCTGAACTGTAGGACGATACCTTCCCACAGCCGTCGCGGAACCCATTTTGGGGCGCACTTGGGAAAAGAAGAGGACGACGAGGAGGAAGAGGAGGGGGAAAAAGAGCAGGCCTCTAGAGGCCCTCGTGGGATTCTTGGGGGGTTCTTGGGACCCCCTGGGGGGCCCTGAGGTGTTGTTGGAGGCCTCCTGTGCCTCTTCGGGGGCCTCTCATGTGTGTGGGTGTGTGTGCGCGTGTGTGCAGTGGTGTGTCTGTGTGTATCTGTACACTGCTCGTCTTTGGACGCATTTCTCCAGGCTCCCTTTCATTCCCGAACGCCGTCCTCAACGCAATCGAGCAATTGATATGGTCGTTACCCGCTCATATTGTTGATCACGATTGTGGTGCCACATCGGCGGCGGAGGAGAACCAGTGTATGTGTGTATGTGCGTGTGCCTCTCTGCTGCCCCTCCTCTCTTGCAGCGCCCCTTGGCGAGGACATCAAGCGCAACGGGCCCGTGGCCGCTTTGCGCGCCTTCCAGGAGACTACCCCCCCATTTCTCATTGATTTCCTTTGGCTCGCCCACATTGCGTCCTGTCTTGCCTTCCGAATGATTGGCTCTATGTGTCATCCCCCTACGTTCGTTGTTCCCGACAAGCTTGTGGTGTTGGGCCCTCGTTGTGAAGAGCCAGCGCCCCGCGTTCCTCATTTCTCGCTCTACCTCACCCTCCTCCCTCCTCCCATTCCTGCCGCTACCCATGACGGCACATCCCTCACAAGTTTCGTGGCCACATAAGAAGCTCCTCCGAGTGTTTCCGTGGCGCAGTTCGCAGGCGGGCGTCGCACCCGTTTCAGCATACCCTTCACACGTTTCGTGGCCCCATAGGGAGGTCAACCGAGTGCCTCCGTGGCGCAGTTCGCATGCGGTTCCCCATCCATTTCGGCACACCCCTCAGGAGCTTCGCGGCTCATAGGGAGCTCGACCGAGAGCTTCCGTGGCGCAGTTCGTGGCGCAGTTCGCACGCGGTTCCCCGCCCATTTTGGCACCCTTCACACGGTTCGTGGCCTTTTAGGGAGTTCCACCGAGCGTCTCCGTGGCGCAGTTCGCATGCGGTTCTCCACCCATGTCGGCACAGCCCCACACGTTTCGTGGTTCCAGGTGGAGCTCAACCGAGTGTTTCTGTGGCGCAGTGCGCATGCGGCTCCCCGCCCATTTCGGCACACTCCTTACACGCTTGCTCCATATGGAGCTCGACCGAGTGGCTCCGTGGCGCGGTTCACATGCGGTCCCCACCAGTTTCGGCACGCCCCTCACACGCTTCGTGGCCCTACATGGAGCTCCATCGAGGGCCTCTGCTGCACAGTTCGCAAGCGGTTCCCCACTCATGTCGGCACACCATTCACACGTGTCGTGGCCCCATAGGGGACTCCACCGAGTGTTTCCGTGGCCGAGTTCGCGTGCGGTTCTCCACCAATTTCGGCACACCCCTCACACGCTTCGTGGTCCCATAATGGGCTCCACCGAACAACTTGGCCTCAACGCGGTACTCACGACTGCAATTTGGTTGGGCCTTTTGCCAGGACATTTGTAGTATTATTGGCGATTTGCGTATCCTTGTCAGCCCATCAAGAGACGAGTGCCATTCGAGTTGCCTTGATAAGGAGAATTGACCAGTGGAGGAGCTTCCAGTGGAACGGGCAAGTGAGTCAAGGGCAGGACAAGTAGCCGGCGACCACGACGACGCGATTAACGAGGAGGTGGGGGAGGAGGAGGAGGAGGACGAGGAGTACGACGACGGCGACCACGGCAGGAGTCAATCATCCAGATTTTCATCGATACTTCGTTCTACGAGTATCTTGAGAGCTTGGAGCCATATTGGAGCCTTCTTGGGGCACTTGTGGGAGCGTTCGGTGCCCTCTTTGGGCCCTCTGTGGGCTTTGGGGTGCCCTCTTGGGACATCTTCGAGGGCATCATCAAAGAAGGGGTGGGGAAATCCTATACGCTTCGCGTAGCCCCACCAGCACGCACGGGACGACCGCACGAATTCCTAGACGCTTCGCGTAACCATCCGGGACGACCGCACCCTCAGCCGCACGGCAGGGGACAAGGGACGCCACCGGCCCGCGTCGGAAGACACCAAGGACGGGGAAGGACGTGCCGCCAAATCACCAAGGGGCAACCCCTCGCGGGTGGAGATCCACGAGGCGCCTTTGAGACGTCAGGATCGCACAGCCACGCCGCGAAGACCCGAACGATCCCATGGGAGGCTTTCCCATGCACATGTGTACCGTAGCAACTGCAGACGTCCAAAGGGGCGAGCCAGTGCAGGACAATATTATACGCCTACAAAAGACGCTGGGAGGAGCGTTCAGTGGCGTATGGGCCGCATGGGTCAAGCGGGCTGCCCTGAGACAGGAGCTCAGCGGAAGCCAGAAGAGCAACCCCAAACTGAACACGGTTCAGACGTGCGCTGAATTCCTCGAGGCTTGGACCGACGCAGGGCACGATGCTTACAAGATGGACAGGGAGCTGGGGCTCAACGTCAACTGGACAGCAGTCAGGGACAAGCACATGAAAATCATGCGCCGCGACTCCCGTGCACACGCTCAGCGCGACTACGACAGCAACAGCAGGCCCGCCCCATGGACAGCTGAGGGCAGAGCGGCCGCGGCCGCGGCCACACAGGACCGTTGGGCCGGTGCCATCAGGACAGCCACCCCCAGCCAGTGGCAGGACTGGCAGGAATGGAGCTCGTGGGATCGGCACGAAGCCCCATGGACGGATTCGGAATGGAAGGGAAAGGGCAAGCGGTATTCCCCCAGGGGGGGCGACCGGTGCACGGGCAAGCGCGCCCGCTGGTGGGCAAGGGGCGCCTCCTACATCCCGGGCTGACAGTGCCGGACTGACCCGCTTCAGCACCTCTGGCACTCTTGGCCAACGTATTATGTCCCTCCCTTCCCGCTCTTCGTGCCCCTAAGGGGCCAGTTTCACCTCGCCGCGCCCGGCTCAGGCCGCAATGCATAGGGGCAACCTCCGCTGGGGCGCAGGTTGCCCTACATCTCACCTGCGGCGCAGCATAGCTAGACAGCCCACGTTGGACAAGTGGACCGCCCCCCCCCTTGTCGGGCCCAGCGGGGGGCCCCCCCCCCAGCTCCTGACATCTCACCCCCCTGAGCGACAGGGGAACCGCCCGCAGGACAGACAGGTCTCGGGCGCACCCACTTTGCTGTCCGACGACGACAGCCACCCATCCGCTGGTGGCGGGGGGGCGGCCGCGTGAACCCCCCCCCCCCATGCGCCTGCGGATCGACCTGTGCAGATCACAGTTTTGGCAACATCGTCTCTAGCGGCGATCAGCTGCGACCCCCGAGGACCAACTTTCAAGGACGCACCCATCTTCACGGACCTGAGCGGCGATCAGCTGCGACCCCCTGGACCAACCACTTCTCCCATTCCAAGTGTGAGAGGACCTGTGCAAGCGGAGAGGCGGCTTCCCCCCCCGCCTCCCTCTGCTGCGGCCGGACGGGCGCCCCCCGCTCTGGGCGACTGGGGCCACCGACGTTCTGGCAAGACGTTGTGGGTGGCGCCCCCCTCCCAGGGCCACCCGCGCCCATCGCCGTTTGGGGCTGGTTCCCCCCCCTCTCTGCGGCGGTTCGGCGCGGCCCTGGGGGGCCGCGTGGCTCACGGTGGCGGGCTCGGGGCCCGGGTGGCGCGCGCCCGAGGCAGGCGTGGCCGGACCGGCGTTTGGCGGCCCTCCTGCTTCTCACTATGCAGCCCCCCCAGCACACCGCTTTGCGACTACGCCACATCACCCATGCCAACGCCGCGTGCCCCGCGAGGCATTGCTCAACGCATGCTCCTGGAGACCCTCTGACCGGGTCCGGCTCGCGTCGCGGTACCTCCACCCCAGTGCTTTCCTCGCCGGCGATGCTCACCACGCCAGCGGGCCCCCCTACTCCCAGCGGCAGCACCGTGCTGGCGCGCGCTGGATCGGTCACAGTCGCACGACAACCCTTTCGACGCTGTGATGTGGTCTAACTGGGACTGGCCAGCGTGCTGAGTGGTTCAGCCTTCAGCGTCAGGCACAGCCTCTCAGGCCCACCTTCAACCCCGCAGTGCGCTGCACCACGGTTCACGACTGCTCAGCCAGATTGGCTTACGCAGGTCGTTCGTTTGGAGTCTGGCGCCACATCGGCGACTCACCCCTGTGGCCATCCCATCTTCACCTTGCACAGTGACCTGCCCACTGAGGTCCGCGGGCCCTAAGCGAGTCCTGCGGTGGCCATTTGAATTCTGGTCATTTTGCCCAGCGCACGTGCCCGAGCTTAGTGCGCCAGCCAGTTCAGCGTCACTCAGCCTGCAGCTGCCGTCTGAGGGGGCCAGCCGACGCCGCTGCTTTAGCCAATTTGCCTCGCCCGTGGCCCGGGCGTCGCATTCGCCGCCTGATGCTTGTCTCGCGGCCGCGACCAAAACAGTAGCCCCACCAGCACGCTGGGGAAGGAAAGGAACCCAGGAAGGGCAACAGCGCCGACCACCGGGCGTTCGGAGACCTCAAAGATCCCCTGACCGGCGGCCCCATGTTCAAATGCCCCCCTGCAGTCGCGGATCTGGACAAGATGGAGGAGATCCATGTCAAGAATGCGCGTCTGCAGAAGACGCTCGGCGGCGCCTTCAACGCTGCATGGCGCGCGTGGTCCAGGCGCGCGGCACAGGGTAACGATGTCAAGGGGGACTATAAAAACAACCCCCGGCTCAACACGCCCGAGGCATGCTCGAGCTTCATGGGCGCCTGGAGGCGGGCCGGCCTCGACGCGCACCGGATGAACAACGAGCACGGGCTCGAAGTAGACTGGGACGCCATCCGCCGCAAACACATGAAGGGCGCCGGGCGGCACGGTGGAGCATCGCAGGCCCCCCTGGGCAACGGGCAGTCGGGGCCCGCCGGCTCCCTGGTCAACAAAGACCCGCAGGGGCGGTCGGTCAAAGACCCAGGCCCCCTGGGCAGTGAACAGCCCCACAGGTCGCTCCAACCAATGGCATGGCTGGCAGGGCTGGTCAACATGGGGCAAAGACGACGCCGAATGGAAAGGGGGGGGCAAGCGCTTCCCTCAGCGCGACGACCACCGCGACTCCGAACAGCGAGGTCGCTGGTGGACATGAAGTAACTCGGCAGCGTCTTTGAGAAGGTCAGCCGCCGCCGCGCAGCAGACTCCTGCGGGTGAAGTGGCCTGCAAGACGGCAGGCCCCGAGGCCACCCCGCCGCTACTAGTGCTGACCTCGGAGTTACCTCACAACCGCCCAGCCCCCCATCGCTCCGCGCGCAATGGCTGGCGGCGCAACTGCTCCCCTCGCCGTTGCGCGCCGGAGCGACATTGGGCCCGTTTCACCTCGCTGCGCCGGGCCCGTCGGCCGTGATACCTCGGGGCTGCCTATCGCTGGGGCAGGCGGCCGCCCCCCCCCCCCCTGGCGCAGCATAGCTAGACAGCCGCGGCTGGTTAGACGCGGGCGGGCGACGCGCGGGCGCCGGGCCCGCGCGCTAC